ATATATATATATATATATATTAAATTCTCCATTTATAAATTGATCACTTGCAGGCGTAGAAATTAAGAAAATATAGTCACTGTTGGAAAATATAGTCAATTTTTAAAAGATTTAACTAGTCAGGACATATTTTTACGAGTTCGTTCACATATCCTTGGATTTTTTAAAAATGCTTACAAATTTACAAAACTGCATAATTTTTTCAAATGCAACATTCAAATTTTTGAAATTAAAAAATGTAGATTAAGCTTAATTTTATCATTATGCTTTAATGAAAAGTTTATAGTTGCAAATTCGTCCTAACTAGAGAGTTTTATTTATTTATTTATTAAATTACATATATTTGTAAGCATGTGTGCTTAATTTAAGTTTATAAGCCCTTGTCAAGTAGAAGGACAGATGAACAACTCGGAGAAGGATATCACGAAGTACCCTCAGAGGTAAGATTTGTTATACAGTTTTTAATGTTTTCAATTTTTTTTCTTTGAGAGGGAGTATATTAGTCATAAGTTCGACAACGATGAATATGGTTTGCACAATTTCAGAAACAGTAGTAATTTGCATTGTTATCTAGCAAACAAAACAAGCACGAAGCGAAATATAGATAGACGTTAAATTCTTTTAGCGATACTAAGGCGATCAATTCTGTTTCTAGAGGACCGGAAATCATTGAAAGCTCTCATCTAGCACCGAACAGCGAGAAAATGTAAGCACTTTAGATACAGAGAAAGTGATCAGAGTTTTGTTTTATACGTTTGATTTGAAGACAAATTTTGCTTATAAGCGCTTAGGATAGAAACTTGCATTGCTATCAGATATGGGGCTCCAGTAGCGATTTTAGAGCTCCAGGTAATCGACGTTTCGATTGTAAGATTTCACTGCCGCGTACATGATAGCGAGTTGATAAAAACTAACTAAAAACTGAGTTCCTTTCTTTATCAAGTTATTGAAAGTTTAAAAAAATAAGCGGACTGAGCTGGTTCCTTAACAAAACGCCTCAAATAATAAAACGTAATTTTTTTTTTCCAAACCGAAAAAGAAGCGAGGCTATCAACTTTCTAACATTCATGTATATGGCAAAAACTTGAGTACAGAACATTTTAAATAATTGACAACAACAAAAATTTTTTTTTTCACCTGAACTAGAAAAAACATTGCTCCTACCAAGTACCGTAAACTAAAAACACACACTTCTGAAGAAGAAAAAGAATAAATAAAAAGCCAGACTTTGCCCTCTTTCATAAAAATACGCACTTAAGGGCGCCGCTTAAAAAAAAAAGTTTAAAAGCTCTTCGAAACGGTAAGCCGTAAAACATACAGCCGAAACCACTCCTAGGCAAAATAAAGTTGGCGCCTCTCTTGGAAAAGAAAAGCGGACTATGGTAAAATAATAAAGCAAGAAAATAAACTGATGGCCCTAACCGAATTTTATAGTTTTCTCAAAGGGTTAGAGAAGTTTTTAAAAGTAAAAACAATCCAAAGGTATAATAAAAATAGGTACTGAACCACAAGAAAATAGACGATGGTGAACATAAGCTAAGTTTGCATACCCACAATGGTATTTGAAATCTATGAATTAAATTAGAAGCAAAATTATGAAAAAACTTTTTTCCAGAAAATAACTAAATAAAAACAAGGGAATGAAAAACATACAAAAGCACAAAATGAATGCCTGTTTAATTTCGATGTTATTTTCTCGAGAATTCTACTTTTTAACATAAGCAAACAATTATTCGTGACGAGAGAAATAACATTTAACGTGGAAATACTTTTTTTCCTTTCCCAAGAATTTGCAGTTGATATTCGAGAAAAAAAAATTTTGGATAAAAATATATATATGAAAAAGCAGCGAAAAAAATTGATCTAAAAGTTGAAGTCCTACTTTGGAAAAGTATTCACCAAGGTTTAAAAAAGCTTTTTTACATTTAAGTACTAAAATTTTCATGGAAAATTTAAATTGTGGAGAGTTCAAATATTTTAACAAAATTTATAGCTTTGCATGATAGTTACAGTCACATTGAAAATTAAATACTCCTCTTCGAATATATATATAATTTTACATTGACTGGGTAAATCTTATNATAAAACAAAGAAAAATTATAGACATATGAAAAAAAGGGGGTGGGAAATAATAAGTAAAAAAATAACAAACAACATTTTATTTAAAAAAAAAAAAAAAAAAAAAAAAAAAAAAAAAAAAAAAAAAAGTGAAATGTTAATTAAAAAACCGGAGAAAAAAAACCGGAAAAAAAAGATATAATCTTTTCTTCAGCCCACACGATTATATCCGCAAAACAGAGTGCTATCTTATTGTTTTTCTTAACTTTCTTCGTGTTTTCTTGTATTTATTTATGTATTATTTTATATATATTGTTTTGTTTTTTTTAGGTTTAAATGTTTTTTCTTTCTTTTTTTTTTTTTAGACATATAGGGGCTGCTTACCAACTCCCACCATAATTTTTAGTTGCCCATAGCTGTATAACCCCTCAAATAAATTATAATTTTATAAAACTCACAAAAACTTTTCCTATGCTTTCTGTTCCCTCTCTCTTTTTTTTTTAGAGAGATAGAGTGAGAGAGACTTGTTCATTAGCTGTTTGTAGCTTTTTTGACTTGCTTTCTATTCTATCTTGCTGTCTTTTTGTCTTAATAGGATATTTCCCCCTCGAGTCAAAATAAGAAGGGTGGTGGGATGGACTAAGTACGGAAAGTATGGTTATAGGAAGTACGGGAGAATAAATTGTAAAATTTGAGAGTGGATTTTTTTCCAGCCCATCTCAACCTTTGAATCTTGGGATTATCCAATCATTTAAAGAACGTTACACTAAACAATTAGTTAGGTAATCATTTCCTTTTCTTGATTCCGGTGACCTGCAAGATATTTCTAAAGCAAAAATAAATTAACTGACTGGAAGCTCTGAATTTGATTTCAACAGTGTTGGACAGTGTCGACTAAAATGCATTGCAAATGGGTTTAATAAAGCTCCACGGGGTTCATTTTTTCTCGATATCTAATGATAACATCGGCTTTTCGGAACAAAATTGCATCTTCGGGCCTTTCCGAATTACATCTTGCAATTCGGGCGAAATTGCACCTGCTCCTGGTGATAGGGATGTAAACGATGAAGATGAGCAAAAAATGTCGGAGGATATACCAACTGATCGAGGGTTTGAAAGCATGAAAACTCTGAAACATTTGCGAATGCAAACCATATAAATCAAATTTGCAAACATTAAGTATTTAGAGGAATATTTTTATAATTGTATCTAAAAACAAATCATTCAAGGATTACGCATTTTTTTTAGTTAATTTCGGAAAGGTCAATTTTTGAAAAAATATACAAACACCCCCACCCCCCATTTTACGTTACCTCACTTACTGCGTTTTTTAACTGTAGTCCAACGAAAAACGTAAAATCGGTGTTCCACTGTATAAGAGAATAATTATAAAATGAAAGAATTTTTTTTCCAATGCCCACCTTTTAGAACGACCCACCTGGGCATCATACAGGCATCTGAAGGGCAGATTTGTTGGCCACTCTTTCAGGGGCACCATATTAGGTGGGCTAACGTTGCTCCCACAGTAAGGACAAATAGTACAAAGAAGGAAAGAACATCCACGCCTTGCCCGGAATTCGAACCCAGAATCTTTCTGATGCAAGGGCAGTTCCCTACTACACAGCCGGTCGGCTTACATTAGATATATTATATTATATAAAGAATTTTATGTGTTCAAAAAACTATTTGCTAATATTGTTCTTGTAGATTTCTAAGGGGGGGTTGGGTCTTTCTATAGGATGTGTAAGAACTTACAGAAAAAACTTACTTTAAATAACGAGTACACTTGAAAATTAACAATTTTATTTTTTTTAAAGTTAAAATATATTTTTATAGTTATTTTTATTTTTTATTTAAGGCCTACTTTTATAAAAAAAATTGCTAATTAAAAGGTTCAGTTATAAACCCACTGTTCAGTAGGAATTTTCAACAGGGGGCGCATCCCCCTGTTACTCAAAATGATCTTGTCAATTTTATGTTATTAAGTTTGTAAATAAATGTTTATGTTTGTAACAGTCCGCTAATTAATAGATCAATATATCACGA